CTCACAGCAACCTCCAACTCCTGGGCTTAGGCAATTCTCTTGCCTCAGCCTCCCAAGTAGCTGGGACTACAGGCACCCGCCACAACACCTGACTATTTTTTGTTGCACTTTGGCTGAGGCTAGGTTTGAACCCACCACCCTCGGTATACGGGGCCAGCGCCCTACTCACTGAGCCACAGGTGCCACCCAACAATTAGCAGTCTTTTTTATTTTTATTTTTTGCAGCAGAGTCTCATTTTGTTGCCCTCTGTAGAGTGCTATGGCCTCATAGCTCACAGCAACCTCAAACTCTTAGGCTTAAGTAATTCTCTTGCCTCAGCCTCCCAAGTAGCTGGGCCCACAGGGGGTCCAGGCGGCACCTGTGGTTCAAGGAATAGGGTGCCAGCCCCATATACTGGAGGTGATGGGTTCAAACCCAGCCCTGGCCAAAACCTGCAAAAAAAAACCCAACAAAAGATGGGGTCTCGCTCTTGCTGGGGCTGGTTTTGAACTCCTGAGCTCAAGCACTCTACCCACCTTAGCCTCCAAAGTGCTAGAATTACAGGTGTGAGCCACTAAACCCAGCTGTTCCACCATGTCCTTTGTTTTTCTTTTTTTTTGAAACCAAGTCTTACTATGTCACTCTCAGTAGAGTGCTGTGCCATCACAGCTCACGGCAACCTCAAACTCTTGGGCTTAAGTGATTTTCTTGCCTCAGCCTCCCAAGTAGCTGGACTACAGGCGCCTGCCACAACACCTAGCTATTCTTTATTGTTGTTGCAGTTGTCATTGTTACTTTAGCTGGCCTGGGCTGGGTTTGAACCCACCGACTTCTGTGTATGTGTCCAGTACCCTACCCACTGAGCAACAGGTGCTGTCCCCACCATATGCTTTCTTTTTTTTTTGAGACAGAGCCTCACGCTGTCCCCCTGGGTAAAGTGCTGTGGAATCATAGCTCACAGTAACCTCCAACTCCTGGGCTCAAATGAGTCTCCTGCCTCAGCCTCCTGAGTAGCTGGAATTACAGGTGCCCACCATAATGCCCAGCTATTTTTTTTGTTACAGTTGTCATTGTTGTTTAGCTGGCACGGGCTGAGTTCAAACCACGGGCGCCCGCCACAACACCTGGCTATTTTTTGGTTGCAGCCATCATTGTTGTTTGGCGGGCCCAGGCTGGATTCAAACCCTCGAACCCGCCACCTTAGGTGTATGTGGCTGGCGCCTTAGCCACTTGAGCTACAGGTGCCAAGCCACCGTATCCTTTCTTAAGCAAGTTACTTAACCTCTTCTAAACCCTCATCTCTCCTGCCTATAAAATAGGGAAAATAATAGTGCTGTCACCAAAGTTCTTTTTAAAAAAAAAACAACAGAGTCTTAAGCTGTTGCCCTGGGTAGAATGCCATGGCATCATAGCTCACAGCAACCTCCAACTCTCTTGGGCTCAAGCGATCCTCTTGCCCCAGTTTTTCCATTTTTAGTAGAGACAGGGTCTCACTTCTTGCTCAGGCTGGTTTCAAACCCATGAGCTCAAGCTACCCATCTGCCTTGGATTCCCAGAATACTAGGATTACAGACATGAGTCACCATGCCCAGCTGTCATCAAGATTCTGGTTTTTGGTTTTTTTTAGAAGTTGACCTTTTTTTTTTTAAATTTGAGACAGAGTCTCACTATGTGGCCCTGGGCAGGGTACAGTGGTGTCACAGCTCACAGCAACCCCAAAGTCTTTGGCTTAAGCAATTCTCTTGCCTAAGCCTCCCAAGTAGCTGGGACTACAGGCGCCCACCCCATGCCCAGCTCTTTTTTTGGTTGCAGTTGTCATTGTTGTTTAGCTGACCCAGGCTGGGTTCGAACCCACCACCCTCAGTATATGTGGCTGGCGCCATAACCACTATGCTACAGGTGCCGAGCCTATCATCAAGATTCTTGAGAAAAGTCAGCATAATATACCTAAAGCACTTTGCCAGTATATGATACCCAGCCCGTGATAATAGAAACTGTTGCTATTATGATTATTTTTGTAGATCATGGGTGTGAGTACTCTTTCGAAAGGTTAAGGAACTCAAATGGGAAGGTGAGAAGGATAGCAAGAATTTCCCAGACTCTGGTATGGAGTTGGGTTCCAGTACCCATTGTGTAGTAAGTACTCAGAAAACATTTGTAGAGGGGGAGAATTTAAGTTTTTGTTTGTTTGTTTGTTTTTTGAGACAGAATTTTATTATATCGCCCTCGGTAGAGTGCTGTGGCGTCAACAGCTCACAGCAACCTTAAAGTCTTGGGCTTAAGTGATTCTCTTGCCTCACCCTCCCGAGTAGCTGGAATTACGGGTACCCACTATAACGCCCAGCTCTTTTTTTTTGTTATGGTTGTCATTGTTGTTTAGCTGGCATGGGCTGAGTTCAAACCCACCAGCCTTGGTGTATGTGACCAGAGCTCTCAAGCGAGTCTCCTGCCTCAGCCTCCCAAGTAGCTGGGACCACAGGCGCCCGCCACAGCGCCTGGCCATTTTTTGGTTGCAGCCATTATTGTTGTTTGGCGGGCCCGGGCTGGGGATTCGAACCCGCCACCTTAGGTGTATGTGGCTGGCGCCCTAGCCACTTGAGCCACAGGCGCCGAGCCTTAACCTAAGTTTTATGTGCAAAATTTTACCTTTGCACATAAAAGTGGCCATTGTCTCATGGGTGGAGAGGTGGGAGGGGATACTTAGAGGGCTTTCACACCAGCCTGAGGACTTACCCCCTGCTCTCCTCTGCACTTCCCATAGGGCCAGAGGTGGAGGCTCATCTCAGGAAGCTGGGCCTGGGCTACCGTGCCCGCTATGTCAATGCCAGTGCCCAAGCCATCCTGGAAGAACAGGGTGGGCAGGCCTGGCTGCAGCAGCTTCGAGAGATCCCCTATGAGGAGGCCCACAAGGCCCTCTGTTCCCTGCCGGGGGTAGGCACCAAGGTAAGATCCCAGGCGGGTGGGAGCCACCCTCTCCACTCACACTGAGAGTAGGAGAGTAGGAAATGAGGCAGGCCTGAGAGCTGGTTGGAGAGTTGGCTTCTAGAGGCAGAGCAGAAAGGATATAAGCAAATGTTTTATGAGTGTAGAAAGCATATAAAGCAGCAGTCCCCAACGTTTTGGCACTGGGGACCAGTTTCATAGAACACAATTTTTCCACAGACCTGCAGCGGGGGGCAGGGAAGGGGACACATTAGTTTCCCATAAGGAGCACACAACCTAGATTCCTCACATGTGCATTTTACGATAGGGTTCATGTTCCTACGAGAATCCAATGCTGATGATATGACAGGAGGCAAAGCTCAGTCAGTGATATGAGCAATGGAGAGTGGGCATAAATACAGATGAAATTTATTCAAGCTCACTTAATCCTCCCCTCCTCCTCTATGTCCCTGGTTCCTAACAGATCATGGGCTGGTACCAGTCAATGGCTCCGGGGTTGGAGCCTGCAGTTCTTTTTTCTTTTCTTTTTTTTTTTTTTGAGACAGGAGCCTCCAGCTGTCCCCTGGGTAG